TCTAAAGTTTTGTTTAATTCAGGGTGTTATTTCTCACTTTTATGAATTGCCATATGTGGTTTCTTACGTAATGCTAATCGCTTCAATATGTAATGATTTTTAGATTCTTAGCAAGTAATCATGCCCGTTAGTTAAAATTGGTTTAGATAACTAGAAAATTGCTTTTTAATCAGCTTCTTCTTCTCTGTCTGCTAGATTAAATTGTTTAGAACAATTTCTTTTATCACCATTTGCGGCCGGTTCTCTAGCGTAGTTGGTTAAATCGGACTTCGCGGTGATCGGGTGACGAACTCCTTGTGGTCCGGGTTCACTCCCAGGGGTAGGCAGAAAAGCCACATTTCTCCCAGATTTACGGTATCTGTCATAGAATCAAAGCCGAAGGATAGCGATATCCATAATACCGAGCCAAACAAAGGGTTAACAATTCATGGTTTCTAGATATTTAAAAAAAAAAAAAACATTTGCATGCAGAGGAAAAAATATGTCCTATTTCCATGCTTATGTATTTTAAACAAAAACCACAACGGCAGAATTTCCTGGATTTCTGGATTAATGGATGTAATGACCTCTAGAGCACCCAGGTCAACACCATATGCTTGCGATGGACACCGAAAAACTGAAGCCGCGAAGTTTTACGCTAACGGGGCAATGGCTCGCCTGCGGGCACCAGTCAGGTCAAATTTTGTCCTGCCCGGCAACGTGACGGGCCTTGCAAGCCGGCAGTGGTGTTTTTTTTACTGCTACTGGTCAAGAAAACGGACGCAAAACTGGGCTACAACCTGGTTACAGAGAGACGACAAAAGAAGAAGATGCGGTACCCGGTTTTATTACGCTGGGGGATTACAAATTTAGGGATCACTAAAACAGGTACACTCGCTAACGAAACCAGTGAGTCCGGAAAAGTAATCGACAGCTTTACTAAAAATCCACAGTGGATGTTAGCTACATTGTACCTCTGCTGTATTAGGTTTCCTTACCTAGTGATGACGAAAAGGAAACGCTCTATACGTAAATTATTTATTTAAAAAAAAAAATCCAATCGTGGTGCTGTTAATCTCTTCTTCCTTATAATTTGCAATAGCCATATGGGATAAAACCCGGTGCAATGAAGTCGATCCTCTCAAAATCATAATTAAAAAAAATTGGAATAGTCTGGTTTTAATTGTATTTCATTGTTGATGAAATTAATAGGAGTCGTCCTCACCGACGTCGTTTCCCCGTGTGTGTTCCGGCTCTCCATATGGAAGAGGGGAAAGAATAGTCCCACTAGCCTCTAATAAGCCTGTCGTAAATGGCGACTACTAAGGGGTTTCCCTTAAAGTCGAAGTGTGTCTCCATGAGAGGCGTGTTTTATATATATGCCCAATGTTTTCTCATCATTCCTCTATAAAACTGCATATCTGCAGCTATACGTTGCTTTTACTAATAGACTGACTGTCCATGATTCACTTCCGTACATCAGTATTAGCTTTATGTAGCTTTCAAGAACTCTTGGTTTTTTTTTCATCTCAGTTGACCATCTTGTATATAAAATATACGATTATAACGTAACATACTGATGTACTTTCATAGGCGGAATACATGAAACATTTCAAAGAAGTGGAGGTCCCAAAGTACCTCGGTTTTTATGAGAAACTGCTGAAAGAATCCGGCACTGGTTACTTCGTTGGAAATTCTGTGAGTACAATGAAGGAACAGTGAAGATATTGCTAGGGTAAAATGAATGGATAGTGAAGATAATGTGTGCATAATGTGAATGAATAGTGAAGACGTTTGTGCGAGTAATATGAATGAATAGTATAGACTTTTGTGCGAGTAATATGAATGAATAGTATAGACTTTTGTGTAAGTAATATGAATGAATATAATAGACTTTTATGTGAGTAATATGAATGAATAGTGAAGATTACATTCTTCCACTGAGATATTGATCGGTATATCATTGTTGAAAATGTAATTAACTACAGTGCAGATTTCTTCTTGTCCTTCCCCCTTTTTCCTCCTCCTCCTCCTTCTTCTTCTTCATGTAAGTGGGGTAAAATGTATGTCTGTGTGTGTGTATTTGCATTTTGTACTGATAATATATTTGCGAGTTAAATTGATGTTTTCGTGCATCTTGGGTAAGGTTAATTATAAATGTTTAAAAGTAAAAGTATCAGTTTGTTGCACCTGTTTTATTATTTGTGATTCTGTATCTTTCTGAGCACGAACTTATTACTCCAGCAACGACCTCAAGAGATCTAAACGTATGCTTTGCAAACAGGAATTTGAAATTAAACCCTGAGAGCACAAAGACCTATGCTGGAGAATGTATTTTTATGTATAATGATGATGATGTTTTTTGCCGATACGCGTAAGCTGTCATGTTTCACCATCTCAACAGAATCACGGATTAGGTTAATATTTTTGTCTGGTCCCTTCCACATGGCTAAGCCATCCAAGTATTTATCCTTTTGCTCCTCCATTACTTTTTCCCATCAGTCCTATAAGTTATTACTTAGTTTCCAAGTTCATTACTTCTCATAAAATGTCAGGAAACCCTGACTGAATATGTCTGATTTATCTACGGAAAACTCCAACTGAATATGTCTGATTCATCTAATCAGTTACGCTTTTCATCCGTATGTTGCTACAGGAAAGATGCATGCTCTCAAAATTTTGACTTTTATTTTCTTGTTTGTGCTCAACCATAGACTTTTAATGCTGTTTAATCTAGCGTAGTTGGCTAAACCGGATTGCGCGGTGAGCGGGTGACGAACTCCTTGTGGTCCGGGTTCACTCCCGGGGGTAGGCAGAAAAGCCACATTTCTCCTAGATTTGCGGTATTTACAATGGAATCAAGGCCGAAAGGTTGCGATATCCATAATACCGAGCCTAAGAGTTAACAACTCATGGCTTCTGGATATTCAAACAAACAAACAAACAAACAAACAACAAACAATGCTGTTTAATCTTTTTATTGCTTTAGCCATCCTCATTTGGACTTTTGTTGAAAAGTCTCCATCACTGTTTGCTATGGAGCCTAGATATTCAAACTTTCTGACATTTCGATTTCTTCATCATTTTTTTCTTGGGGGGGGGGGGGGGGGGGGGGGGGGGGGGGGGGGGGGGTTAACAGCCAGTTTTGTCTCTGGACATTCATTTTTGTTTTCTTTAAATTAAAGAACATGTTAATAATAGTAAAATTAATAATAATAATAATAGTAATAATAATAATAATACTAATAATATCATTTTTCTTTTTATTTTTTCACAGCTGTCAGTGGCAGACTTGTCTTGCTACGATTTTCTTTACGGACTTAAATCAATGGGTGTTCTGAGTACAGATGAGTACCCAAACATTCAGAATCTCCAGAAGAAAGTAGAGAGTAATGAAAAAATTAAGGCATATCTAGCAACAAGAAAGCAGACTCCAACTTAATTGTTTACTATAAGAAAATACTTCAAATGAAATCCAATTTGTGAAGCAGCAACGGTTTCTGTTAGTGAAACAGATTTTGTGCTCTCTCTCTCTCTCTCTCTCTCTCTCTCTCTCTATCTATATATATATATATATATATATATATATATATATATATATATATATATATATATATATATATACGTGTGTGTGTATGCGTGTCTTATATGCTTTTTTAAAAATGTACATTTAATAGTCGCAATTCTAAATTGTCTGACAAAAACATTAGAAGTTCTAAACCGAAGCAGTTTTTGTGTGCAAATCTGCCAAACTAGGCTGCGCTTTAATTCGCACTCTTATGGCAGTTTGGTTTATTTTAAATATCCGGTATGAAAAAAAACTAAGATTAAAAGAAAATATATCACACACAGAACCAATCGATTACCTCTGTCAGAAAAGGGCATTTCAAATTCTTTTGACACGACATGAGAACGGTAATACTGGATTTTACCACACCAAAACAAAAACTGAAGGTTGAACGAGGCAGGGGGATGCCAAGAGAGATGAAGGGACGTTGTATTAAAAAGAATTTAGCAACAAAGATATAGACGGCTGTGGACAGACATGGAGTAGGAAGTTTCAAACGGCGTGACGACTATGACAACTTGGTGTACCTGACTTGGTCGTGAACAGTCGGTCTCAGAAGTCATCCCGTTTTAAAAACCTACTACTCCACTTTTATACTTTCTGGACTGACATACATACATACATACATACATACATACATACATACATACATACATACATACATACATACATACATACATACATACATACATAACCATACTGGACTTTCATTTGCCTATGATTTTATATATGTAGCCGGGTGGAAAGCGCTGTGAGTAATTATGATTAGGATGCAAGCGATCACAAATCTGGCAGGTTTATGAAGTTTATAAAAGGACTTGAACTACGCTGTGCGTTCTCTCTGAGTGTTTTCGGCTCGTGCGGTCAGCCGTTCTGCCGTTGTGTAGTCGCTCGTTATCCACAAGCAGGCGCTGCAGACGGCGTCGGGGATTTCCGACTGATTACAGCGATTGTACGTTTGCATAGTTAGATCTGAATTTTCTAGGGTAGTTAAACTGTGCAGAGCTAGATATCAGTGTGTGTTATCACTCGACGATGTTTGATTTCAGGGCGCTCGGAGCGAATGTAAACCTTTATTAGATGAAGTGCATTGCTCAAAGTCTGCTCGAACACGTAATGGTTGTTAATGTAGAGCTATTAGCTTTTTGTTCAGGAAAATAAACAGATGTTAAATGTGATGGTTACATTCATTTGTTTGATGCAAGATAAAACTTTTGGTTTGTGCACGTAGTTCGCCTAGGTGTTGCTATGTAGTTGTAGTCTATGTTGTAGTTGTGTTACACAATTTTTTACATTTCCTTTACCAGGGTTATGAACATATTTCATGGCCTCTGCAAAAAAGAACCCTTGTCTTTGTCTTTTTTTTTCTGCTTTTTCTGTTTTTTGCTGTACAGCGGTGAACTACTTATTGTCCTAACCACAATTTGATTTTCCACATCTCCCTACTTCTAGTTTTTCTGCTTTCTTTTTTTCCGCTAGAACATATAGGTTTCACATATTCAATGATAATACCAGAACTCTGCCACACTCTAGTGCATATCAAAATTGGGTCGGCCATCTTCAAATTGTAATTTTTTGACGCCACCGTGTCTGCAGTGTGATGTCACTGCTTAACACGCTTGACATCCTTCACAACAATATTGCAGATTATAAGACAAACCGTATTTTATCATATTTTTTCTCGTTTTTGCCTGAATCCCCTTGTATAAGAAACAAAAAGAAGAATGTTGAGAAATTATTGCTTACTCATATTACTTTCTTACTAATCTGCCTTGGCAGTCGTATATTTAAATGCGCTTAAGCTAACTGGGATATATAAGCTCAGCTTGAAAGTGTACACGAAAGAAAAGACATTTGACGTTTGATATTCTTATCTAGGCAGCTTTTGATATTTTCTTTTATTTCTGTATTCATTTATATTTTTATACGTGAAATACATAATTTCAATACTTGTCATTTGGTTGTATGTATGTATGCATGCATGCATGCATGCATGCATGTATGTATGTATGGATGGATGGATGGACGGATGGATGGATGTATGTATGTATGTATGTATGTATGTATGTATGTATGTATGTATGTATGTATGTATGTATGTATGTATGTATGTATGTATGTGTGTTTGTTTTTTTAGAAAGTCGTGTATAACCTCTAAGACACCTTAGATTCACGACGTCACATTTAAAAAAAAAAAAAAAGAAAGGACGATAGTAATTACTGTAGAAAAAAATAACTGTTAAGAGCAAAATAACAACTGTAAAAGCGCCCCATGTGGCTGAGTCACACTGCGACACACACAGCTCAAACCATGGCCAAACTTTAGTTACAGGCCTAGCTACTGACGTCATCAGCGGGACGTGACGTCACCGCCGCTGGCTAACGTTATGTTACTTTTTCACTCAGACAGTACTTGTTTTTTTTTTTTTTTGTTCCCGGCCGTCCCCTGAGTACTAGCTCCCAAAAAGTATAGCAGTAAGCTCATGGCTATTCAACAGTCAGCCCGCGGACCAAATTTGGCCCGCTGAGGCCTAGCGAGTGGCCCGCGGATCACTGCTGGTTGCAATGAAAAAATGGTTTTTCTAAGCTGGGACTCGGACTGCTGGCCCATAACGATCCCTAATCTTACAATGTTGGCTTCTGAGTCAACCTAAATTGACTTAGTTGAACAGCCCTGGATATAGGTATTGACAATAAGACATAGAAACAAAGCACAACAGAAACTAATCACATATTCACAATATGACATAGAAACAGAAAGCACAACAGAAACTACTCACATATTCACAATATGACATAGAAACAGAAAGCACAACAGAAACTACTCACATATTCACAATATGACATAGAAACTAAAAGAACAACAGAAACTACTTACCATGTAGCTGTCCAAATTGAAGTTACATAATCCGTGAAATCCATTAATGGGTGAATTTGGTCAGTTTTCTTTTCTTAAAGGATTTATCCAGCAAGGATGCGTCGGTTTTTATTTTTCTATAATTTACTTTTTACATTAATAATATGCCACCATCTAAGGATGGCTTCAATAAAATCTGCTGTTTCATTACTGCCTTCTAGACGCAGAGCAGCAACATTGTATTCATTAAAAATTGCCAAAGCAAGAGGAACATTTTGTCTGTCCATGCTGGAGGGATAGATGGCTTTGTGGGAAAGTTTAGGTGCCAGTTTTGCAATATTCTTTTGCTCACTATATTACAGTTTCTTTAAATGAGAAAAAGTTAGCTTCTGCAGCTCTATCAGTATCACAGGCGTTTTAGCATTTATCCAGTTTATTAAAGGATAAGTAAATTTCTGGTTTGTGTCCTTCTGGTTGATCCAGTTCCTCCACATGCATTTTAGCAAGTGCACAGAATCATGCAGTAAAAATATTTTTTTATTAGCAAAATCTGGGTTCTCAATAAAAGTTTGGCTTGGTTTCAGGAGATCACTGTAAACTCTGTGATTGACAGCACTATTATCTGCAATTACAGCAACTACTGTGAAACCACACTCCTGTACAAAGTGGATACAGTGGAGTAATTTCAAACGTAGATCCTGAGATGTCATTCTGTTCACAGGTGAAAGTTCTATAATTTCCTGGTAGCTTTCAAAAACTGAAGATATGAGGGAAAGCCTGCACTGTTGTTGCTGCTTCTTTTTGCATTGTCTGCATTGCCAAATATTTTGCCCCCAGAGTAAGTAATTGCAGATTTAACATATTTTTCATCCATCTGAACCACTACAATCTTTTCTAGCTCTGTCAGTTTGTCTTGTTTCAATTTCAAGTGTTGTGAAATGCTGCCAGTATGAGTAGACAATGACAACTGTGAAGTTAAATTGTGCAGTGTTCTTTGATGAGGCAGGCACAACATACGAGATATTTCTTATAAACCGGTAGCATGCTGGAGATTTAATGAACAGCATGAAAGCGAAACATAATGTACTACAACTTTAAGGCCTTCTGTTGTTTAACACGGTTAAAAGTTGCAGCTGCTCTGCAAGAAAGTTTACTTGTGTGTCAGTTACTTCATCAGCTGCCCCATTAGGAGTCAGTCCACTGTTGCTGAGCAGCACTCTTCAAAATACTTCCTACTTCTTCCACTAAATCTGTGAAGCTATTTTGGCTTTGAATTTTACTATAATCCCAGGCATTGTAATGAATTACAAGATTTTCAAGCTGTGACCATCTCACAAGTTTTTTGTTGTCTACAATCCATTTAAGGTCTTTGTCTTTAACTTTTTTATTTTGAACAAAGACTTGTATAGTCATATCAAGTAACACCTTTATGCTGACACCTATGGATGGTGCAGAGTCTGACTGTATGGTTATGACATACAAAACAATACATGCTAAAGCTCCATCTACAGAAGTGTATTTCCATTTTTTTTTTTCAAAGTGACCTTTCAGTTTGTTTCCTATCTGTGACTCCAGATCTTGGAAATCTGTAATGATGTCTGAGGACCGCCAATCATTTACTTTTTGATCATAATTACGATTAATATGTGATACACGTTCCTCTGGAGTTTTGCGAGAGGCTGGTACTTTCACCGATAAAAAGGATGGAAGATCTGGAAAAATAGTTGGATAAGCATCTTTTTTTAAAACGGGATTCTTTCTTGGAAGTTTTTGCTCGATTCCTGATTTGTCTGTATATTTATTAGACCCAATAATATCTGACGTACGAAAATGTTTCACACATACTACACTGGTTTTCCGAGGAGTCCAATTTTTCCGTGGAATATGTTTCAGCCATTTGTCTCTTAAAAGAGAATTCGAAGGGAATCTGAAGCAACACATATCCACTAGAAAGGTCATAATTTGAACGACACTCGGGTACAGTGACAGAACATTTCGCAGGCATATTTCCTCGAAA